AACGCAGCTACTGTCTCCAATCTCCACACAATACTTCCTTTCTTCTAGATAGGACCTAAACCAGCTTAGGGCGGTACCAGCAACACCAACCCAGTCCTCCAGTCTCTGCATGAGAATCTCATGGTCAACGGTGTCGAAAGCGGCACTCAGATCTAACATGACTAAAACAGAGACTTTTCCTGCATCAGTGTTAAGCCGAATATCATTTGTTACCTTGACTAGAGCGGTCTCAGTACTGTGGTGTGGTCTAAAGCCAGACTGGAACATGTCAAATGAGTCACTTTTTCAAGAATTTTTCCCATGAAAGGCAGATTTGAGATGGGACGGTAATTTTCAAGTACCGCAGCATCCAAACTGCTCTTTTTTAGGAGGGGCCTGATGACTGCTATTTTCAGGGCCATTGGAAATGTTCCAGATAAAAAAGACATGTTTACCATTTTTGTCAATGAGGGTAATAGACTACACAGAACAGACTTCAGAAATCTAGGAGGTAGTACATCCAGACTGCAGGTAGAGGAACTCAGACCTGTGATTATCTTTTTAACAGTTTCATTATTGACAGGTGCAAATTGAGCTAGCTCACAAAGCCTCACTGGATGTTGTAGTGTTACTTGTGTTGTGGAGGTGATGGCATTTCTGATACCCTGAACCTTGTCTCTGAAGAACTGTGCAAACTCATTACACCTGGATTTGGAGTAGTGTTCTAATGGCAACTTAACAGGGGGGTTCGTTAATCTATTGATTGTTGAAAATAGAACACGCAGATTGTTGCTGCAGCCTTCAATAGTTTCAGAAAAGTATAATTCTCTTGTTCTACGTAGTACTCTGTTAAACTCACACAACTTCTCTTTTAAGAGTTTATAATCACCCTGGAGGTTGGACTTTCTCCACTTTCTCTCTGCTCTCCGGCACTCTTGCTTCTGTGCCCTGACCGGGCCTGCTTTTATCCATGGGGCTTTTTGCTTATTTGTGACCATTTTTACCTTCACAGGGGCAATGGCGTCCAGAACATTCAACACACTAGAGGTGACAGAGTTAAACAGTTCATCTACAGTAGAACATGATGTGTTCTCAAAATGGATCATTCCCATAAATAGTTCACCCGTGTTTTCATTTAAGTGTCTACTTCTAACAATTTCGTATTTAGCCACACACGCCTGAAACACAGGGTCAGAGATATACAGCCGCACACGCCTGAAACACAGGGTCAGCGATATACAGCCACACACGCCTGAAACACAGGGTCAGAGATATACAGCCACACACGCCTGAAACACAGGGTCAGAGATATACAGCCGCACACGCCTGAAACACAGGGTCAGCATTTTACAGCCGCACACGCCTGAAACACAGGGTCAGCGATATACAGCCGCACACGCCTGAAACACAGGCTCAGCGTTATACAGCCGCATATATATACATTACATCACATGTGTCAAAGTCAAGGCCCGCGGGCCAAATCCGGCCCGCGAATGACGCACTATTACGTCAATTGCGTTTTCTGCTATTTTCATGTTCCCAGATGTCTATTATATCTAATATGTTTGGGGATAAGCTTGAGAGCATATTGAATCGAGCCAGCAGGTGGCAGCAGCGCTCTCTGAATGGTTTGAAAACAGCTAGATGCACTTGTTGTGCCTCTTTTTTCTCAACTTTTTGGTGATTTCAGTTAAACTTCCCTCTACTCAACTGGGGATTACAAGCTAGAAACAAAAATCTTTTTGCTGATGAAAGTAGACAGTCTACTCTTTCAGAATCTGGTTTCGGATTTCAGATAGTCATAGTACACAATATTCTGTGGTTCTTGAAAAATCTATAAAAATCATCAGAAACTGCTGGCAATATGGGTGTACCTGTTCTGAAATAGGCTGGCAGGCAATGAGTTAATAAAATTGAACCAGTCCGGCCCTCGGCTCGCAGCAAATTTGTTTTTTTGGCCCTCTGATGTATTTGACTTTGACATGCCTGCATTACATTACATGAAAGATCAAGGCTATGCTCACACTCAGAGAGCAGCCGTCCTCCTGTGGACTCACCACCTGCAGAGGGTCAGTGAGGGGCTGGTGCTATGAGACTTGGGTGGCATCTCTGACTGCCACCCCCCTGACCCAGAAATGGATTAAAGGGTAGAAAATGGATGGATGGATGGATGGATGCTTGCATTACACATACAGTGGGGCAAAAAAGTATTTAGTCAGCCTCCGATTGTGCAGTTCTCCCACTTAAAATAATGACAGAGGTCTGTAATGTTCATCATAGGTTCACTTCAACTGTGAGAGACAGAATGTGAAGAATCCAGGAATTCACATTGTAGGATTTTTAAAGAATTTATTTGTAAATGATGGTGGAAAATAAGTATTTGGTCACTTCTCTGGCTCTCACAGACCTGTAACTTCTTCTTTAAGAAGCTCTTCTGTCCTCCACTCGTTACCTGTATTAATGGCTCCTGTTTGAACTCATCTGTATAAAAGACACCTGTCCACAGCCTCAAACAGTCAGACTCCAAACTCCACTATGGCCAAGACCAAAGAGCTGTCCAAGGACACCAGGAAAAGAACTGTAGACCTGCACCAGACTGGGAAGAGTGAATCTACAATAGGCAAGCAGCTTGGTGTGAACAAATCAACTGTGGGAGCAATTATCAGAAAATGGAAGACATACAAGACCACTGATAATCTCCCTCGATCTGGGGCTCCACGCAAGATCTCATCCCGTGGGGTCAAAATGATCATGAGAACGGTGATCAAAAATCCCAGAACCACACGGGGGGACCTGGTGAATGACCTGCAGAGAGCTGGGACCAAAGTAACAAAGGTTACCATCAGTAACACACTACGACGACAGGGAATCAAACCCTGCAGTGCCAGACGTGTCCTCCTGCTGAAGCCAGTGCATGTCCAGGCCCGTCTGAAGTTTGCCAGAGAGCACATGGATGATCCAGGCCCGTCTGAAGTTTGCCAGAGAGCACATGGATGATCCAGGCCCGTCTGAAGTTTGCCAGAGAGCACATGGATGATACAGGCCCGTCTGAAGTTTGCCAGAGAGCACATGGATGATACAGCAGAGGATTGGGAGAATGTCATGTGGTCAGATGAAACCAAAGTACAACTGTTTGGTATAAACTCAACTCGTTGTGTTTGGAGGAAGAAGAATACTGAGTTGCATCCCAAGAACACCATACCTACTGTGAAGCATGGGGGTGGAAACGTCATGCTTTGGGGCTGTTTTTCTGCTAAGGGGACAGGACGACTGATCCGTGTTAAGGAAAGAATGAACGGGGCCATGTATCGTGAGATTTTGAGCCAAAACCTCCTTTCATCAGTGAGAGCTTTGAAGATGAAACGTGGCTGGGTCTTCCAGCATGACAATGATCCCAAACACACCGCCCGGGCAACGAAGGAGTGGCTCCGTAAGAAGCATTTGAAAGTCCTGGAGTGGCCTCGCCAGTCTCCAGACCTCAACCCCATTGAACATCTGTGGAGGGAGTTGAAACTCTGTGTTGCTCGGCAACAGCCCCAAAACATCACTGCTCTCGAGAAGATCTGCATGGAGGAATGGGCCAAAATACCAGCTACTGTGTGTGCAAACCTGGTAAAGACCTATAGTAATCGTTGACCTCTGTTATTGCCAACAAAGGTTATATTACAAAGTAATGAGTTGAATTTTTGTTATTGACCAAATACTTAATTTCCACCATAATTAACAAATAAATTCTTCAAAAATCCTACATAGTGAATTCCTGGATTTTTTCTTCACATTCTGTCTCTAACAGTTGAAGTGAACCTATGATGAACGTTACAGACCTCTGTCTTTAGTTTAAGTGGGAGAACTTGTACAATCGGAGGCTGACTAAATACTTTTTTGCCCCACTGTATACATGTAACTATGTATGACTGCATTGTCCCTGTCAAATAAATAAATAAACAAACAAATAAATACATGTTCAAAGTGGCCCCTCCCTCCACAGACCACAGAGACCAAACTAGACTGGTCCAAAAACATACACTCCCCTCAGACAGCAACTGGAACCAAGAGGACAGAGAGCCACTTTTTCCTGTGAAGATGTTTTCCAGAGGAAAGAAGGTGCCATACAAAAGCATTGGGTAATTCTGTTTCCAGGTACACCCCCACCGGGGGGAGTGAGATCACAGACATGTCACACAGCTGCAACATCTACGATTCCTCAGCAACAGATCAGAAAACCAAACAGCTCACACACATAACAATAACACACACATGTGCGGACCATCAGGACCATGTGGACCATCAGTGTCAGGACCATCAGGACCATGCAGACCATCAGGACCATCAGTGTTAGGACCATGTGGACCATCAGTGTCAGGACCATGTGGACCATCAGGACCATCAGGACCATGCAGACCATCAGGACCATTAGGACCATGTGGACCATGCAGACCATCAGGACCATCAGTGTCAGGACCATGTGGACCATCAGGACCATTAGGACCATGTGGACCATCAGGACCATGCAGACCATCAGTGTCAGGACCATGTGGACCATCAGGACCATGCGGACCATCAGGACCATGTGAAACATCAGGACCATCAGTGTCAGGACCATCAGAGTCCGGGACCATCAGAGTCCAGGACCATCTGTGTGCTGCGTCCTGATAGGCTGTTTCAGTTTATAATGATATTTATCACTGAAGTTTGTGAAAGAGAGAAACATGTTTGATAAATAAACATTTGTTTCTCTCTCTCCTCCCTCCTGAGTGCGCGTGGTCAGCCTGATTGACAGGTCGCTCAGACTGACCACGCCCCTCTCGCCCGGAGGCCTCTGGAAGAAGGTGTCCCATGTGTGCGACAGGAGGAGGGCCCCCTCGTCCCGGTTGATGCTGTTGTTGCCTCTTCCTGATTTCAAAGGCCTTGATCCAGTTTGTGTTTGTTGTTTTTGGATCCGCCCTGTCCATCATGGGGTTATCTGAGCCACCTGTTAATCAGGCTGACCACGCCCACTCAGGAAGTATGTGGGTGTGCTGATGGTACCTGACCTGGGTGTGCTGATGGTACCAGACCTGGGTGTGCTGATGGTACCAGACCTGGGTGTGCTGATGGTACCAGACCTGGGTGTGCTGATGGTACCAGACCTGGGTGTGCTGATGGTACCAGACCTGGGGTGTGATGATGGTACCAGACCTGGGTGTGCTGATGGTACCAGACCTGGGTGTGCTGATGGTACCAGACCTGGGTGTGCTGATGGTACCAGACCTGGGTGTGCTGATGGTACCTGACCTGGGTGTGCTGATGACCTGGGTGTGCTGATGGTACCAGACCTGGGTGTGCTGATGGTACCAGACCTGGGTGTGCTGATGGTACCAGACCTGGGTGTGCTGATGGTACCAGACCTGGGTGTGCTGATGGTACCTGACCTGGGTGTGCTGATGGTACAGTATATGACCTGGGTGTGCTGATGGTACCAGACCTGGGTGTGCTGATGGTATCTGACCTGGGTGTGCTGATGGTACCAGACCTGGGTGTGCTGATGGTATCTGACCTGGGTGTGCTGATGGTACCAGACCTGGGTGTGCTGATGGACCTGACCTGGGTGTGCTGATGACCTGGGTGTGCTGATGGTACCAGACCTGGGTGTGCTGATGGTATCTGACCTGGGTGTGCTGATGGTACCAGACCTGGGTGTGCTGATGGTACAGTATATGACCTGGGTGTGCTGATGGTACCAGACCTGGGTGTGCTGATGGTATCTGACCTGGGTGTGCTGATGGTACCAGACCTGGGTGTGCTGATGGTATCTGACCTGGGTGTGCTGATGGTACAGTATATGACCTGGGTGTGCTGGTGGTACCAGACCTGGGTGTGCTGGTGGGACCAGACCTGGGTGTGCTGATGGTACCTGACTGGAGCAGACCAGGGCGAGCCGTGTTCCTCCTGGGGTTAAAGGTCCCGTCTGCTTCTGTCCTCGACACCTGTCTGTACCTTCGCACCCCCCCACACAGAGACATCTCCGGGACCACAGACCAGACCAGACCACAGACCAGACCACAGACCAGACCACAGGACCACAGGATCACCGAACCGAGTCTGGAGTCTCAGAGGTTGCTATGACGACGGCCCTCAGAGTCCTTTACAAACTCAGAGGCTCCAGGACGAGTCTGAAACGTGCCGTTTTAGATTCAACACAAATCAAGGCTGGACCAAAGACTACATCAGACACTTCAGGAACAAACTGCTACATTATTCCAACGATGATCTGCAAGTTATAAGTAACTACAAATTAAACTCAAACTCAAAGCTCAAACTCAAAGATCAAACTCAAACTAAAACTAAAAGTCAGAAGTAAAAACCAAAGAGAGATTCTTCTCTTTCCCAAAAGTCCAAACAGGCATGAGTCGCTGATGGGACAAAGCTCCACAGAGCTCACCTGTCCTGTGTCTGAGGTCTGTACCAATGGGAAGGCCCAACCGGGGGGGCAGGGGGCGGGACTGGGCTGTGTGACCAATGGGAAGGCCCGGTTTCTGTGCAGGGGGCGGGGCTTGGCTGAGCTCGGGTTTCAGCTCTGTGTAAATGCAAATGAAAGGGATCGCACAAGTGAGCATCAGGTGACAGCAGCTCCAGGATGTTAGAACTAAACACACACACATAGATATATACACACACCTACACACAGACACACACAGATTAATACACACACACGTACACACAGATACACACACACACGTACACACAGATACACACACACACACACACACGTACACACATACACACACACTGATTAATACAGACACACGTACACACAGATACACACAGACACTCACACACAGATATATGCACACACACACACACGTACACACATACACACACACTGATTAATACAGACACACGTACACACAGATACACACAGACACTCACACACAGATATATGCACACACACACAGTCCATACACACTTACAGCAGTCCAACACAATAAAACACACATCATTGCAGAAGCTGCAGAGATCACAGACCGGGATACAGTCGTTAATGTATGTACAGTAGTTAGTGTTAACGTACAGCGTGTCTACAGTCGTTAATGTATGTACAGTAGTTAGTGTTAACGTACAGCGTGTCTACAGTCGTTAATGTATGTACAGTAGTTAGTGTTAACGTACAGCGTGTCTACAGTCGTTAATGTATGTACAGCAGTTAGCGTTAACGTACAGCGTGTCTACAGTCGTTAATGTATGTACAGTAGTTAGTGTTAACGCACAGCGTGTCTACAGTCGTTAATGTATGTACAGCAGTTAGTGTTAACGCACAGCGTGTCTACAGTCGTTAATGTATGTACAGCAGTTAGTGTTAACGTACAGCGTGTACAGTCGTTAATGTATGTACAGCAGTTAGTGTTAACGCACAGCGTGTCTACAGTCGTTAATGTATGTACAGTAGTTAGCGTTAACGTACAGCGTGTCTACAGTCGTTAATGTATGTACAGTAGTTAGCGTTAACGTACAGCGTGTCTACAGTCGTTAATGTATGTACAGCAGTTAGTGTTAACGCACAGCGTGTCTACAGTCGTTAATGTATGTACAGAAGTTAGTGTTAACGCACAGCGTGTCTACAGTCGTTAATGTATGTACAGCAGTTAGTGTTAACGCACAGCGTGTCTACAGTCGTTAATGTATGTACAGTAGTTAGCGTTAACGTACAGCGTGTCTACAGTCGTTAATGTATGTACAGCAGTTAGTGTTAACGCACAGCGTGTCTACAGTCGTTAATGTATGTACAGTAGTTAGTGTTAACGTACAGCGTGTCTACAGTCGTTAATGTATGTACAGTAGTTAGTGTTAACGTACAGCGTGTCTACAGTCGTTAATGTATGTACAGTAGTTAGCGTTAACGTACAGCGTGTCTACAGTCGTTAATGTATGTACAGCAGTTAGTGTTAACGTACAGCGTGTCTACAGTCGTTAATGTATGTACAGCAGTTAGTGTTAACGCACAGCGTGTCTACAGTCTACAGTCGTTAATGTATGTACAGCAGTTAGTGTTAAGCGTTAACGCAGCGTGTCTACAGTCGTTAATGTATGTACAGCAGTTAGTGTTAACGTACAGCGTGTCTAGTCGTTAATGTTTGTACAGTAGTTAGTGTTAACGTACAGCGTGTCTACAGTCGTTAATGTATGTACAGTAGTTAGCGTTAACGTACAGCGTGTCTACAGTCGTTAATGTATGTACAGCAGTTAGCGTTAACGTACAGCGTGTCTACAGTCGTTAATGTATGTACAGTAGTTAGCGTTAACGTACAGCGTGTCTACAGTCGTTCATGTATGTACAGTAGTTAGCGTTAACGTACAGCGTGTCTACAGTCATTAATGTATGTACAGCAGTTAGTGTTAACGTACAGCGTGTCTACAGTCGTTAATGTATGTACAGTAGTTAGTGTTAACGTACAGCGTGTCTACAGTCGTTAATGTATGTACAGCAGTTAGTGTTAACGTACAGCGTGTCTACAGTCGTTAATGTATGTACAGTAGTTAGTGTTAACGTACAGCGTGTCTACAGTCGTTAATGTATGTACAGTAGTTAGCGTTAACGTACAGCGTGTCTACAGTCGTTAATGTATGTACAGTAGTTAGTGTTAACGTACAGCGTGTCTACAGTCGTTAATGTATGTACAGTAGTTAGCGTTAACGTACAGCGTGTCTACAGTCGTTAATGTATGTACAGTAGTTAGTGTTAACGTACAGCGTGTCTACAGTCGTTAATGTATGTACAGCAGTTAGTGTTAACGTACAGCGTGTCTACAGTCGTTAATGTATGTACAGCAGTTAGTGTTAACGTACAGCGTGTCTACAGTCGTTAATGTATGTACAGCAGTTAGTGTTAACGTACAGCGTGTCTACAGTCGTTAATGTATGTACAGTAGTTAGTGTTAACGTACAGCGTGTCTACAGTCGTTAATGTATGTACAGCAGTTAGTGTTAACGTACAGCGTGTCTACAGTCGTTAATGTATGTACAGTAGTTAGTGTTAAGTACAGCGTGTCTACAGTCGTTAATGTATGTACAGTAGTTAGCGTTAACGTACAGCGTGTCTACAGTCGTTAATGTATGTACAGTAGTTAGCGTTAACGCACAGCGTGTCTACAGTCGTTAATGTATGTACAGCAGTTAGCGTTAACGTACAGCGTGTCTACAGTCGTTAATGTATGTACAGTAGTTAGTGTTAACGTACAGCGTGTCTACAGTCGTTAATGTATGTACAGTAGTTAGTGTTAACGTACAGCGTGTCTACAGTCGTTAATGTATGTACAGTAGTTAGTGTTAACGTACAGCGTGTCTACAGTCGTTAATGTATGTACAGCAGTTAGCGTTAACGTACAGCGTGTCTACAGTCGTTAATGTATGTACAGCAGTTAGTGTTAACGTACAGCGTGTCTACAGTCGTTAATGTATGTACAGTAGTTAGCGTTAACGTACAGCGTGTCTACAGTCGTTAATGTATGTACAGTAGTTAGTGTTAACGTACAGCGTGTCTACAGTCGTTAATGTATGTACAGTAGTTAGCGTTAACGTACAGCGTGTCTACAGTCGTTAATGTATGTACAGCAGTTAGTGTTAACGTACAGCGTGTCTACAGTCGTTAATGTATGTACAGCAGTTAGTGTTAACGTACAGCGTGTACAGTCGTTAATGTATGTACAGCAGTTAGTGTTAACGTACAGCGTGTCTAGTCGTTAATGTATGTACAGTAGTTAGCGTTAACGTACAGCGTGTCTACAGTCGTTAATGTATGTACAGCAGTTAGTGTTAACGTACAGCGTGTCTACAGTCGTTAATGTATGTACAGTAGTTAGCGTTAACGTACAGCGTGTCTACAGTCGTTAATGTATGTACAGTAGTTAGCGTTAACGCACAGCGTGTCTACAGTCGTTAATGTATGTACAGCAGTTAGTGTTAACGTACAGCGTGTCTACAGTCGTTAATGTATGTACAGTAGTTAGTGTTAACGTACAGCGTGTCTACAGTCGTTAATGTATGTACAGTAGTTAGTGTTAACGTACAGCGTGTCTACAGTCGTTAATGTATGTACAGTAGTTAGTGTTAACGTACAGCGTGTCTACAGTCGTTAATGTATGTACAGCAGTTAGTGTTAACGTACAGCGTGTCTACAGTCGTTAATGTATGTACAGTAGTTAGCGTTAACGTACAGCGTGTCTACAGTCGTTAATGTATGTACAGTAGTTAGCGTTAACGTACAGCGTGTCTACAGTCGTTAATGTATGTACAGCAGTTAGTGTTAACGTACAGCGTGTCTACAGTCGTTAATGTATGTACAGTAGTTAGCGTTAACGTACAGCGTGTCTACAGTCGTTAATGTATGTACAGTAGTTAGTGTTAACGTACAGCGTGTCTACAGTCGTTAATGTATGTACAGTAGTTAGCGTTAACGTACAGCGTGTCTACAGTCGTTAATGTATGTACAGCAGTTAGTGTTAACGTACAGCGTGTCTACAGTCGTTAATGTATGTACAGCAGTTAGTGTTAACGTACAGCGTGTCTACAGTCGTTAATGTATGTACAGCAGTTAGTGTTAACGTACAGCGTGTACAGTCGTTAATGTATGTACAGCAGTTAGTGTTAACGTACAGCGTGTCTAGTCGTTAATGTATGTACAGTAGTTAGCGTTAACGTACAGCGTGTCTACAGTCGTTAATGTATGTACAGCAGTTAGTGTTAACGTACAGCGTGTCTACAGTCGTTAATGTATGTACAGTAGTTAAGTAACGTACAAGCGTGTTGTACGTCCGGTTAATGTATGTTTACAGTAGTTAGCGTTAACGTACAGCGTGTCTACAGTCGTTAATGTATGTACAGCAGTTAGTGTTAACGTACAGCGTGTCTACAGTCGTTAATGTATGTACAGCAGTTAGTGTTAACGCACAGCGTGTCTACAGTCGTTAATGTATGTACAGCAGTTAGTGTTAACGTACAGCGTGTCTACAGTCGTTAATGTATGTACAGTAGTTAGCGTTAACGTACAGCGTGTCTACAGTCGTTAATGTATGTACAGCAGTTAGTGTTAACGTACAGCGTGTCTACAGTCGTTAATGTATGTACAGTAGTTAGTGTTAACGTACAGCGTGTCTACAGTCGTTAATGTATGTACAGTAGTTAGCGTTAACGTACAGCGTGTCTAGTCGTTAATGTTTGTACAGTAGTTAGTGTTAACGTACAGCGTGTCTACAGTCGTTAATGTATGTACAGTAGTTAGCGTTAACGTACAGCGTGTCTACAGTCGTTAATGTATGTACAGCAGTTAGTGTTAACGTACAGCGTGTCTACAGTCGTTAATGTATGTACAGTAGTTAGCGTTAACGTACAGCGTGTCTACAGTCGTTCATGTATGTACAGTAGTTAGCGTTAACGTACAGCGTGTCTACAGTCATTAATGTATGTACAGCAGTTAGTGTTAACGTACAGCGTGTCTACAGTCGTTAATGTATGTACAGCAGTTAGTGTTAACGTACAGCGTGTCTACAGTCGTTAATGTATGTACAGCAGTTAGTGTTAACGTACAGCGTGTCTACAGTCGTTAATGTATGTACAGCAGTTAGTGTTAACGTACAGCGTGTCTACAGTCATTAATGTATGTACAGCAGTTAGCGTTAACGTACAGCGTGTCTACAGTCGTTAATGTATGTACAGCGTTACTGTAACAGGAGGTCGTTTATGATCTGCTGAAAATCACTTTGAACAACGATAAAGACGTTTCTATGTCGTTCTCAGAGCTTTATTCAATGAACCTTTACTTAAAGACCTTATGACGGGTTTTAAAAAAAAAAAAAATTGCATGACAATGTCAATTTGAAAGAGATTCCGGCAAAAAAAATCCTCTATTTTATAAAAAGAACGTGTTTTTCATGAATTTAAGTTGTCTATGCTCTAACCTGTGTGTGACGTCATAGCGGGTAACGCCCATGCATTGAAAACCATGGATCTATGCCCAGGGCTGGACTGGGACAAAAAAACGGCCCGGGCATTTTTTCCTTCTTACCGGCCCAGGCATGTTTTGGTCACGTTTTTTACAGTTTGTTTATACCAGGGATCGGCAACTCAAAAGGTTCAAAGAGCCATATTTGACAAAAAAAAACTAAAAACATCTGTCTGGAGCCGCAAAAAAATAACAGCCTTGTATAAAGCTTATATGAAGGTTACACAATGTAGCTACATTAGCTACATTAGCCTAATATCTAAATGACCAAGTAAAGGCTACAAATACATAATAAGCATTCATGATTGTCAAATATGTGTTTTCACTGCAGCGTGTCCTGGAGAGAATGACGCACCACGTGACAACTCTGCTTTAACTTTGACTTCCATTTTTTTTGCCTTCATGCAACTGTAGAAATACAGTAAATAAATCTGCTTTTTGGCTCAAGGTCACACACCTGCACTGTCCGCTCATATCGATCACGTCACAGGCTGAAGTTTGCTGGAGCTGAATGTCCTTTTCTTTCACAGTCTTTGCGGAGGTTTTTGAAGTCTGAAAAAGGTGCTCCGGATTTTGTATGAAAGAATCCTTCACGTAATCCCTGTGAACGGTATTTAGTGCTTCATTGTTCCTCCTGTTGCAACAAAACTTCCTATTACATCGCAAACATGAAGCAGTCCTTCCTCATTGACTGAAAGCAAATGTTCAGTCTTGTTCTTAGTCCAGTCTTATTATCGACTCTTTCTCTTTTTATCTTTGGGATCCGTGCCACACGCCGGTTTGTTTACAGCAGCGGCCGCCTGCCGCGGGGCCGCGCCACAGGATATGACTCACTACGTTGACAGAAATGTTGAAATTGAATATTACTTATACACATTTTTACAGCATTGAAATACGTTAGGCTTGTTTTTCCTCCTACAGAAACCACATTCAAACTAGGAATAAAATATAGCCCTCACACTCCATTTTCAGACATTTTTGAAAAGGCTCCAGGAGCCACTGGAGGAGCACTAAAGGTTGCCGACCCCTGGTTTATACAGTATGTGGAAGCATACTGTAGAGGATCAGGATGTCTGTGGTTTCAACAATAAAATAAAGTGCAATAGTCTACATTAAACAGAGTAATAAACATGTCTCAGAGTGAGGGAGGTGGGCACAGACATGAGAATTGGTCAAAAAAGTCTGAAATGCATAATGTCAGCCATTTGCTGGCTCTAAATCTGTTTAACTCACTGACTGCCAGGCATTTTCAGATTTGAGAAGTGCATTCTGCCAGCAATTTCAGGTGATTTGACCCAACTTTGAAGTGCCACAGAATATTCATTTTTTAGACGATGTAAACACCAAGGGCACCAAATTAAAGATTAACCTCTCTGCTTTACTCTGAAAAAAACAGTTTGTTTCTACCTCTTACCGTTCTTGCGTTATTTGCCATAGAACAAAGCATACTTTCACCCATAACACCTGGTCTGAGCAAGAAAACAGAGAAAACGAGCTGTATGTAAACAGGAACATATCAAGCAGAAAAGAGACTTTAGATGCATTTTTGCTGCTTTAGTGACAACTCAAAACATCTTCACACTTGTTCCATTACAAAAATTATAAAAACATGACTCTGAAATAATACTTTTGATGGCAAATTGTTGGCAATTTATTCACAGATAGAAAATTTAACTTTCTTCTATACCATCAACCAAAACGTCAAACAACAACAACACAAAGATCAATAAAACTATAGATGTATAAAATAGAATGAAGCATGTGAATTTGAGTGTGTGTGTGTGACTGTCAGTGTGCGAGTGAGTGTCTGTGCGAGTGAGTGTCTGTGTGTGTGAATGTCAGTGTGTGTGAATGTCAGTGTGCGAGTGAGTGTCTGTGTGAGTGAGTGAGTGCGTGTGAGTGTTTGTGAGTGTGTCCGATAAATCATGATCAGGTTTGCTGAACGAATCCGAGGCATCAGTAACAGCAGCAGCTGATACGCTGCGAGAGGCGGAAGGTGTGTCTCTGCTCGGGGCTCTTGCTCCGCGCAAATGTAGCTGCAGAGACGGACCTCCACCCGGGTCTCCCCTCTCTCCCCTCTCGACCTCACTCACTGATCCGCGAGTCAATCTCTGAAGCAGTGTATACTGCTTATAACTATTCTTTTTTGCCATCACTCTTGCTATACTATCGCTAAACTAGATCGCTGATCCGTCTCAATGCTACGCTATCATCGCTCTGCTACAGCAGCACAGCACGCTCTCCAAAGACCCCACACTCCTCCTTCTCTCCACTGACTTATGACCTCTCCTGTGGTGCAATACTGCATCCTACTGGTGGTGATTTATCATTACAGGTACATTTGCACTATATATCAGTGTTGTGGGTCATTAACAAGGTGCGCCAGACATTACTGCAGCCTCCCGTGTAATAACACGAAAAAGTCGTCTAAGTCGTCTTGGGCAGTGAGCGTCACTATACAATAGAACGACTTTTGTCGTCATGGGCAGTGAATGAGTTAATTTGTTCACAACATTTTACTTTTGGGCTCAAACATTAACTTTTAATGCAATGGAAAATTTAGGTACCCGAGCTTTAATTTAGTCGCACTTTGAGAGGAAAGGGGAGACGCGGACTGTTTCCTGCAGCGGTGTATTTATTGGGTGCACAAATTATGCAAAGACACGCATGGTCCTGTGCACGTTTATGGTCTTGGGTACATGGTCACGTTGCGGCTACGCGCTCACCGTGTTGTGTTGTGAGCGGTTCCCGCGTCCAGCTCAGAGCCGCTGGATGCGGGAACACTGCGGCCGGTGAGGTGGTGGAATCCCGTTCCAGTACATACAGCAGGAGCCCCGCGGACACGCGCTCTCCCCTCGAACAGTTCTCAACGGATTTACACTTTTCACAAACATGTTTTTTGTATGAGGCAAACAGACCGGCCCAAATATGGGCATCGGCCCTTCTGGCATTGCCCGGTACGCCCGATGGCCAGTCCAGCCCTGTCTATGCCACAGGACTGCCTTTTCTCTCTTCTCTCCACTGATGCCCAACACAATACTGCCCTCTACAGGTGACAATTGCTCACTACACATAAATTGCCGTTTTGAGTGTGAAAAAGTGTCTGAGGTGGGATTTGAACCCAAGTCTCTGGATTGGAATTCCATCGACACAACCACTGGACTATCTCAGTGACAACGAAATGATACATTCTAGTATTTATGTCAGACTCGCTGTACACGGCCTTGTCATCTTGAATATCCGCGAAAAAAGAACGAATACCAAATTGTAAACAACTTACAGCGTTGAAACGTACCCGTTCTGACGTCACCAAGGGCTGTGAAGTTTTTTCGTTTCTAAGGGCGTTGCTATGGGGTTATTTCGATTTGGGGGGATCAGACAAAAAAAACAACAACTGATTTTGAAACCTTTAGTAGTTCTCTTCTAATATAAAATGGTATTAAAACTGTATTTCTAAATAAATCAAACCCGTCATAAGGTCTTTAAAGTTTACTTAAGGAGAGGGTCCTGGGCCCAGAGTGAGGGAAACCGGAGCACCTGGAAGAAACCTACACAGACACAGGGAGAACATGCAGTATCCATGGCGACGCAGTGACACCTCACAGTGTCTTTGAAGACTATGGTCTAGAGGTCAGAGGTTACAGGGCAGGTGTGGTTACAGGGTAGGTGTGGCTAAAGGGCAGGTGTGGTTGCAGGTATGGCTACAGGGCAGGTGTGGCTGCAGGTGTGGCTACAGGGTAGGTGTGGCTACAGGGCAGGTGTGGCTGCAGGTGTGGCTACAGGGCCGGTGTGGCTACAGGGCAGGTGTGGCTGCAGGTGTGGCTGCAGGTGTGGCTACAGGGCCGGTGTGGCTACAGGGCAGGTGTGGCTGCAGGTGTGGCTACAGGGCCGGTGTGGCTACAGGGCAGGTGTGGCTACAGGGCAGGTGTGGCTGCAGGGCCGGTGTGGCTACAGGGCAGGTGTGGCTACAGGGCAGGTGTGGCTGCAGGTGTGGCTACAGGGCAGGTGTGGCTGCAGGGCAGGTGTGGCTGCAGGGCAGGTGTGGCTGCAGGTGTGGCTACAGGTAGGTGTGGCTGCAGGTAGGTGTGGCTGCAGGGCAGGTGTGGCTGCAGGGCAGGTGTGGCTGCAGGGCAGGTGTGGCTGCAGGTGTGGCTACAGGGCAGGTGTGGTTACAGGGTAGGTGTGGCTAAAGGGCAGGTGTGGCTACAGGGCAGGTGTGGCTACAGGGCAGATGTGGTTACAGGGTAGGTGTGGCTACAGGGTAGGTGTGGCTACAGGGCAGGTGTGGCTGCAGGTGTGGCTACAGGGTAGGTGTGGCTGCAGGTGTGGCTACAGGGCAGGTGTGGCTACAGGGCAGATGTGGTTACAGGGTAGGTGTGGCTACAGGGTAGGTGTGGCTACAGGGCAGGTGTGGCTGCAGGTGTGGCTACAGGGTAGGTGTGGCTGCAGGTGTGGCTGCAGGGCAGGTGTGGCTACAGGGTAGGTGTGGCTAAAGGGCAGGTGTGGTTGCAGGTATGGCTACAGGGCAGGTGTGGCTGCAGGTGTGGCTACAGGGTAGGTGTGGCTAAAGGGCAGGTGTGGCTACAGGGCAGGTGTGGCTAAAGGGCAGGTGTGGCTGCAGGTGTGGCTGCAGGGTAGGTGTGGCTGCAGGTGTGGCTACAGGGTAGGTGTGGCTAAAGGGCAGGTGTGGTTGCAGGTATGGCTACAGGGCAGGTGTGGCTGCAGGTGTGGCTACAGGGTAGGTGTGGTGGCTACAGGGCAGGTGTGGTGGCTACAGGGCAGGTGTGGCTACAGGGCAGGTGTGGCTACAGGGCAGGTGTGGCTGCAGGGCAGGTGTGGCTGCAGGGCAGGTGTGGCTGCAGGTGTGGCTGCAGGTGTGGCTACAGGGTAGGTGTGGCTGCAGGTGTGGCTACAGGGTAGGTGTGGCTAAAGGGCAGGTGTGGTTGCAGGTGTGGCTGCAGGTGTGGCTACAGGGTAGGTGTGGCTACAGGGCAGGTGTGGCTGCAGGGCAGGTGTGGCTGCAGGGCAGGTGTGGCTGCAGGGCAGGTGTGGCTGCAGGTGTGGCTACAGGGTAGGTGTGGCTGCAGGTGTGGCTACAGGGTAGGTGTGGCTAAAGGGCAGGTGTGGTTGCAGGTATGGCTACAGGGCAGGTGTGGCTGCAGGTGTGGCTACAGGGTAGGTGTGGCTAAAGGGCAGGTGTGGCTACAGGGCAGGTGTGGCTAAAGGGCAGGTGTGGCTGCAGGTGTGGCTGCAGGGTAGGTGTGGCTGCAGGTGTGGCTACAGGGTAGGTGTGGCTAAAGGGCAGGTGTGGTTGCAGGTATGGCTACAGGGCAGGTGTGGCTGCAGGTGTGGCTACAGGGCCGGTGTGGCTACAGGGCAGGTGTGGCTACAGGGCAGGTGTGGCTGCAGGGCCGGTGTGGCTACAGGGCAGGTGTGGCTACAGGGCAGGTGTGGCTGCAGGTGTGGCTACAGGGCAGGTGTGGCTGCAGGGCAGGTGTGGCTGCAGGGCAGGTGTGGCTGCAGGTGTGGCTACAGGGTAGGTGTGGCTGCAGGGCAGGTGTGGCTGCAGGGCAGGTGTGGCTGCAGGGCAGGTGTGGCTGCAGGGCAGGTGTGGCTGCAGGGCAGGTGTGGCTGCAGGTGTGGCTACAGGGCAGGTGTGGTTACAGGGTAGGTGTGGCTAAAGGGCAGGTGTGGCTACAGGGCAGGTGTGGCTACAGGGCAGATGTGGTTACAGGGTAGGTGTGGCTACAGGGTAGGTGTGGCTACAGGGCAGGTGTGGCTGCAGGTGTGGCTACAGGGTAGGTGTGGCTGCAGGTGTGGCTACAGGGCAGGTGTGGCTACAGGGCAGATGTGGTTACAGGGTAGGTGTGGCTACAGGGTAGGTGTGGCTACAGGGCAGGTGTGGCTGCAGGTGTGGCTACAGGGTAGGTGTGGCTGCAGGTGTGGCTGCAGGGCAGGTGTGGCTACAGGGTAGGTGTGGCTAAAGGGCAGGTGTGGTTGCAGGTATGGCTACAGGGCAGGTGTGGCTGCAGGTGTGGCTACAGGGTAGGTGTGGCTAAAGGGCAGGTGTGGCTACAGGGCAGGTGTGGCTAAAGGGCAGGTGTGGCTGCAGGTGTGGCTGCAGGGTAGGTGTGGCTGCAGGTGTGGCTACAGGGTAGGTGTGGCTAAAGGGCAGGTGTGGTTGCAGGTATGGCTACAGGGCAGGTGTGGCTGCAGGTGTGGCTACAGGGTAGGTGTGGTGGCTACAGGGCAGGTGTGGTGGCTACAGGGCAGGTGTGGCTACAGGGCAGGTGTGGCTACAGGGCAGGTGTGGCTGCAGGGCAGGTGTGGCTGCAGGGCAGGTGTGGCTGCAGGTGTGGCTGCAGGTGTGGCTACAGGGTAGGTGTGGCTGCAGGTGTGGCTACAGGGTAGGTGTGGCTAAAGGGCAGGTGTGGTTGCAGGTGTGGCTGCAGGTGTGGCTACAGGGTAGGTGTGGCTACAGGGCAGGTGTGGCTGCAGGGCAGGTGTGGCTGCAGGTGTGGCTGCAGGGCAGGTGTGGCTGCAGGTGTGGCTACAGGGTAGGTGTGGCTAAAGGGCAGGTGTGGTTGCAGGTATGGCTACAGGGCAGGTGTGGCTACAGGGTAGGTGTGGTGGCTACAGGGCAGGTGTGGCTGCAGGTGTGGCTACAGGGTAGGTGTGGCTACAGGGCAGGTGTGGCTACAGGGCAGGTGTGGCTGCAGGGCAGGTGTGGCTGCAGGTGTGGCTGCAGGGCAGGTGTGGCTGCAGGTGTGGCTACAGGGCAGGTGTGGCTAAAGGGCAGGTGTGGCTGCAGGTGTGGCTAAAGGGCAGGTGTGGCTGCAGGGCAGGTGTGGCTGCAGGTGTGGCTGCAGGGCAGGTGTGGCTACAGGGTAGGTGTGGCTAAAGGGCAGGTGTGGTTGCAGGTATGGCTACAGGGCAGGTGTGGCTGCAGGTGTGGCTACAGGGCAGGTGTGGCTACAGGGCAGGTGTGGCTGCAGGTGTGGCTGCAGGGCAGGTGTGGCTACAGGGCAGGTGTGGCTAAAGGGCAGGTGTGGTTGCAGGTATGGCTACAGGGCAGGTGTGGCTGCAGGTGTGGCTACAGGGTAGGTGTGGCTACAGGGCAGGTGTGGCTGCAGGTGTGGCTGCAGGGCAGGTGTGGCTACAGGGTAGGTGTGGCTAAAGGGCAGGTGTGGTTGCAGGTATGGCTACAGGGCAGGTGTGGCTGCAGGTGTGGCTACAGGGTAGGTGTGGCTACAGGGCAGGTGTGGCTACAGGGCAGGTGTGGCTGCAGGTGTGGCTGCAGGGCAGGTGTGGCTGCAGGTGTGGCTGCAGGGCAGGTGTGGCTGCAGGTGTGGCTGCAGGTGTGGCTGCAGGTGTGGCTGCAGGTGTGGCTGCAGGTTTAGTTTGAACCTAAGGTAAGAGTGGAAACATCACTCTCAGCAGCGTCACTGGAGTCCTGTGATTTGAGAACACTCTCATTAACAATTAACCACAAGACACCAGAGACCAGAGAGAGACCAGAGACTAGAGAGAGACCAGAGCGAGACCAGAGACTAGAGAGAGACCAGAGCGAGACCAGAGAGACCAGACAGAGACCCCTCTGTGTCCTGGTCTCCTCCCTCCCTCAGAGTATATAAAGTCACCGTGAACACATACTGCTGTTATATAAAGTCACCGTGAACACATACTGCTGTTATATAAAGTCACCTGCGTGAACACATACTGCTGTTATATAAAGTCACCTGCGTGAACACATACTGCTGTTATATAAAGTCACCTCCGTGAACACATACTGCTGTTATATAAAGTCACCTCCGTGAACACATACTGCTGTTATATAAAGTCACCTCCGTGAACACATACTGCTGTTATATAAAGTCACCTCCGTGAACACATACTGCTGTTATATAAAGTCACCTCCGTGAACACATACTGCTGTTATATAAAGTCACCTGCGTGAACACATACTGCTGTTATATAAAGTCACCTGCGTGAACACATACTGCTGTTATATAAAGTCACCTCCGTGAACACATACTGCTGTTATATAAAGTCACCTCCGTGAACACATACTGCTGTTATATAAAGTCACCTGCGTGAACACATACTGCTGTTATATAAAGTCACCTGCGTGAACACATACTGCTGTTATATAAAGTCACCTGCGTGAACACATACTGCTGTTATATAAAGTCACCTCCGTGAACACATACTGCTGTTATATAAAGTCACCTCCGTGAACACATACTGCTGTTATATAAAGTCACCTCCGTGAACACATACTGCTGTTATATAAAGTCACCTGCGTGAACACATACTGCTGTTATATAAAGTCACCTCCGTGAACACATACTGCTGTTATATAAAGTCACCTGCGTGAACACATACTGCTGTTATATAAAGTCACCTCCGTGAACACATACTGCTGTTATATAAAGTCACCTCCGTGAACACATACTGCTGTTATATAAAGTCACCTCCGTGAACACATACTGCTGTTATATAAAGTCACCTCCGTGAACACATACTGCTGTTATATAAAGTCACCTCCGTGAACACATACTGCTGTTATATAAAGTCACCTCCGTGAACACATACTACTGTTATATAAAGTCTCCTCCGTGAACACATACTGCTGTTATATAAAGTCACCGTGAACACATACTGCTGTTATATAAAGTCACCGTGAACACATACTGCTGTTATATAAAGTCTGTGAAGGTCTCAGACACAGAGACGCCGCAGCTGCATTATAAAAGCCGCTAGCTTAACTGTGTTAGCATCAAAGTCCGCCCGCTACTTCCGGCACTTCCGGTGCTGGCCAGGACGTTCTGGTCTGAAGACTTCTGAAAACTAGAGAATGTGCGTCTGGTGATCGAGGCTTCAGCGTTTCAGCGTCTGCGGTGTGAACACAGCTCTAGAATGAGTCTGGTGTGTGAATGGTTGGTGGTGGAGGGAGGGGCCGATGGCACAGACTGGTTGCTTCTGTCAGTGTGCCCCAGGGCAGCTGTGGCTACAGTAGTTATCACTGAATAAAACTGATCATGATTATTATTCCTTCATCCACAGGTCGTCCGTGTTGCTGCAGAATCAAAGCTGCCGCTGCTCATTATGAGTCTGGCTCTGAAGGAGATTAAATATAACTTCAAACAGCTCCACAGAACCTCCGTCACCTGCCTTTAGACCAATCACAGACCTGCCTTTAGACCAATCACAGACCTGCCTTTAGACCAATCACAGACCTGCCTTTAGACCAATCACAGACCTGCCTTTAGACCTATCACAGACAGACCCACCACAGACCTGCCTTTAGACCAATCACAGACCTGCCTTTAGACCAATCACAGACAGACCCATCACAGACCTGCCTTTAGACCAATCACAGACTTGCCTTTAGACCAATCACAGACAGACCCATCGCAGACCTGCCTTTAGACCAATCACAGACAGACCCATCACAGACCTGCCTTTAGACCAATCACAGACCTGCCTTTAGACCAATCACAGACAGACCCATCGCAGACCTGCCTTTAGACCAATCACAGACAGACCCATCACAGACCTGCCTTTAGACCAATCACAGACCTGCCTTTAGACCAATCACAGACCTGCCTTTAGACCAATCACAGACCTGCTGCTGCACTTTATTACTATCATTAGTCACTTTTACAATTATGTATTTATTTGTTTGTGTGTGTTTCTGCTGCTGGATCATTAACTATCTATTTATCTATGATCGATCATAGATAGACAGATGGGTCTGATTGGTTCAAACTTCTGCAGGACTGTCTCTGATTGGTTCAAACTGCTGCAGGACGAGAAGAGAAAGGCGTATCAGGTCTAAAGGTCCACTTTATGGCTCACATCAGATACAAGCAACCACCAGGATCTACTATACTCATGTAGCACAGGTACAATCACAGGTACGATCACAGGTACAGTCACAGGTACGATCACAGGTACAGTCACAGGTACGGTCGCAGGTACAATTGCAGGTACGATCACAGGTACGGTCGCAGGTACGGTCGCAGGTACGGTCGCAGGTACGGTCGCAGGTACGATCACAGGTACAATCACAGGTATGGTCACAGGTACGATCACAGGTACGGTCGCAGGTACAATTACAGGTACAATCACAGGTACGATCACAGGTACGATCACAGGTACGGTCGCAGGTACGGTCGCAGGTACGGTCGCAGGTACGGTCGCAGGTACAATCGCAGGTACGATCACAGGTACAATCACAGGTACAATCACAGGTACAATCACAGGTACAATCACAGGTACAATCACAGGTACAGTCTCAGGTACGATCACAGGTACGATCGCAGGTACGATCACAGGTACAATCACAGGTATGGTCACAGGTACGATCACAGGTACGGTCGCAGGTACAATTACAGGTACAATCACAGGTACGGTCGCAGGTACGGTCGCAGGTACGGTCGCAGGTACGGTCGCAGGTACGGTCGCAGGTACGGTCGCAGGTACGGTCGCAGGTACAATCGCAGGTACAATCACAGGTACAATCACAGGTACAGTCTCAGGTACGATCACAGGTACGGTCGCAGGTACGGTCACAGGTACGATCACAGGTACAATCACAGGTACGGTCGCAGGTACAATCACAGATACGGTCGCAGGTACAATTACAGGTACAATCACAGGTACAATCACAGGTACGATCACAGGTACGGTCGCAGGTACGGTCGCAGGTACGGTCGCAGGTACGGTCGCAGGTACGGTCGCAGGTACAATCGCAGGTACGATCACAGGTACAGTCGCAGGTACGGTCACAGGTACGGTCGCAGGTACGGTCGCAGGTACAATCGCAGGTACAATCACAGGTACAATCACAGGTACAGTCTCAGGTACGATCACAGGTACGGTCGCAGGTACGGTCACAGGTACGATCACAGGTACAATCACAGGTACGGTCGCAGGTACAATCACAGATACAGTCGCAGGTACAATCACAGGTACAATCACAGGTACAGTCACAGGTACGATCACAGGTACGGTCGCAGGTACGGTCACAGGTACAATCACAGGTACAATCACAGATACGGTCGCAGGTACAATCACAGATACGGTCGCAGGTACGATCACAGGTACAATCACAGATACGGTCGCAGGTACGATCACAGGTACAGTCACAGATACGGTCGCAGGTACAGTCACAGGTACGATCGCAGGTACAATTACAGGTACGATCACAGGTACGGTCGCAGATACGGTCGCAGGTACAATCACAGATACGGTCGCAGGTACGATCACAGGTACAATCACAGATACGGTCGCAGGTACGATCACAGGTACAGTCACAGATACGGTCGCAGGTACAGTCACAGGTACGATCGCAGGTACGATCACAGGTAGGGTCGCAGGTACGGTCGCAGGTACAATCGCAGGTACGATCACAGGTACAGTCGCAGGTACGGTCACAGGTACGGTCGCAGGTACGGTCGCAGGTACAATCGCAGGTACGATCACAGGTACAATCACAGGTACAATCACAGGTACAGTCTCAGGTACGATCACAGGTACGGTCGCAGGTACGGTCACAGGTACGATCACAGGTACAATCACAGGTACGGTCGCAGGTACAATCACAGATACGGTCGCAGGTACAATCACAGGTACAATCACAGGTACGATCACAGGTACGGTCGCAGGTACGGTCGCAGGTACGGTCGCAGGTACGGTCGCAGGTACGGTCGCAGGTACAATCGCAGGTACGATCACAGGTACAGTCGCAGGTACGGTCACAGGTACGGTCGCAGGTACGGTCGCAGGTACAATCGCAGGTACGATCACAGGTACAATCACAGGTACAGTCTCAGGTACGATCACAGGTACGGTCGCAGGTACGGTCACAGGTACGATCACAGGTACAATCACAGGTACGGTCGCAGGTACGGTCGCAGGTACAATCGCAGGTACGATCACAGGTACAGTCGCAGGTACGGTCACAGGTACGGTCGCAGGTACGGTCGCAGGTACAATCGCAGGTACGATCACAGGTACAATCACAGGTACAGTCTCAGGTACGATCACAGGTACGGTCGCAGGTACGGTCACAGGTACGATCACAGGTACAATCACAGGTACGGTCGCAGGTACAATCACAGATACAGTCGCAGGTACAATCGCAGGTACGATCACAGGTACAGTCGCAGGTACGGTCACAGGTACGGTCGCAGGTACGGTCGCAGGTACAATCGCAGGTACGATCACAGGTACAATCACAGGTACAATCACAGGTACAGTCTCAGGTACGATCACAGGTACGGTCGCAGGTACGGTCACAGGTACGATCACAGGTACAATCACAGGTACGGTCGCAGGTACAATCACAGATACGGTCGCAGGTACAATCACAGGTACAATCACAGGTACGATC